TTCATTTTTGAAAAAGTTATGGCAGTTTTAAGTACAAAAAACATCCCGATAAAATGTAATTTTTATCGCAAACATTACATTTTTTTTAGAATTTTCGACAGCCATTTACACATAGAAGATAAGATGTCGGGACAAATTTTTTTTTTTCATTTGATAGTATATAACATAACCTTTAATTTGATATATGTTTAAAGGATGCAGTATTTCCGGAACATTTTCAAAAGTTCAGTTGAAAAAGATCTAAGTTTTTTACAAAATTTTAAGTTTTGAACGCCCCCTATATAAGGGGAAATTGTCCAATTTTAATAAAAAGTATGTCAAATGAAAGATGTACTTATAATGTATTTAGAAAAAAAAAATTTGTGCTGATATATACATTTTTCAAAAAGTTATAGCATTTTTAAGTTGAAAATTTAAAATCGAAAATCGAAAATTTTAACACAAAAATAGTGTTTTTTTAACTACGGCAGCCGTTTAAATGTAGAAAAAAAAGTGTCGGGACAAATTTTTTTTTTTCATTTTGTAGTACATAAAATAAGCTTTAATTTGATATATGTTTAAAGGACGCAGTATTTCCGGAACATTTTCAAAAATTAAGTTGAAAAAATTAATTTTTGTAAAAAAGTTGCCATTTTAAATCCCCCCCAATGAGCAGGTTAAGTGATAGATTTTCAAAAAAATGATATCAAATGAAAGGTAAATATCTAAGGTTTTAGTATAAAAAAAAATTATGTTGATTTGTTGATTTTTCAAAAAGTTATGGAAGTTTTAAGAAAAAAAAGTGAAAAAATTTCGAAAATTAGCGATTTTTAAATTTGTAATTTTTTTAGATATATTCCCCATTTGCGGGGAACGAGGAAAATTTTTTCGATTTTTAAGAGTAATGTCTTCAACTAGATACGATTTGTGATCTTTTGACGTATTGTTGAAAGAAATCGGTCCAATGAGAGCTAAGAAAAAATGGCAACAGAAAAAAAAAAAAAAAAAAAACACATCATGATAAAATTAATACCTTCTCAGCTTCGCATCGAAGCTAAAAATTGAATATTTTAAATATACTGTAATCCCATGAATTTATCTTCATTCTGTATCTTTATCTATTCTGTATTACATTATTATTTATATTATTTCAATATTACTATAATTTATGGTGATATAATTGAATATATCACATTAACATAAAAATTTACTAGATTTTAATGAAAATTAAAAGAAATAAGTGTATAACAGTCTTATTTGCAATCATTTTTAATAGTTGATGTTGGTTCCAGAATTTCATATATACATGTCACACTCCAATGAACTAATAACACTCTAAGTATTAAAATCATATGTAATGGTTTCAGTAATTTTTAATGGACAATACTAATGCAACATGTAAAATGAAGTTCAAAAAAATTTAGAAAATTATATATATATATAATACAAATATATATATAATATAAATAAATATATATATATATATATATATAGAATAGGGGAAAATCCAATTTTTTTAAATTAAACCAAGTATGCAGTTTATAATGACATATATTTTTTATGAAATTTTGATTTTAGCTCAACTGTTATTTTAAATAATTATCAGAAAAAAGCAAGCTATTTCAACGGAAAATTAAATTAGTTTCGCATACACAAAACGGTGTCTAAATAATTACTACGAGAATGGACTTGTAGATTACCGTAGTATATGGGTGAATTTGAGAAAAAAAAATGTATATGGGTAAAGTGCAGCAAGAAATTTTGCCGAGCGAAAAAAAAGTACATAACTTAAAAACCAGTGAATTTTAACAGAATTTTCAGAGTACCTCTCCTTCAGTATACCTGTTAAAAATTTCAGCTATTAAAACCCCAAAGGGGGTGGCTTATTATTGTATAATCCAATAATAATTACAAATATAAGTCTGTAGTCTATATCTAAATCTGATAAGTTATACAAATTAATTTTTTGTTTTTATTTGTAAAAGGATAATTTCTGTCAAGAGCTTAAAAATTACAATTTAATTTTATCGAAGTACTTTTTTTACACATAAAAATCAATTTGCAAAGACTATTGAAATTTTTAAATCATTTTTGCTTTCAAAAAAATCACTAAAATGAATAAAACATATTTTGGAAAATGATCACAGAATTTATATAAGGTTAGTGTTAAAACTGTTATTAAGGTATAAATTTTAGTGCTATCTACAAAATATTAATACAGTTGACTCGCGATAATCCGACTAGTCATCGGTCTAGTATCTCAAGAATCGCCGTTAGTTCCTCGCTGTGTTTAGTAGCAATAACGTGAATGTGCAGTTGCTCTATTTGTGATATTATTACAGTTAATTCTACGTTTTTTATTAATAAGTGCGATGACAAGTACAAGTGGAAGCAATAAACGCAAGCATAAAACATTAACTCTTCTTGAAAAATAGGAAATTATTAAGAGGCATGACCGCGGCGAGATTCCCACGGCTATTTCTCAAGTGTATGATATAGGCGACCTACCGTTTATGACATTGTAAAAAATAGAGAAAAAATTGAACATTTTATGAAATCTGTTGAAGACGGCTCCAAAAGAAAAACTCTTAAAATGAGCGAATACCCCCACGTTGAAGAGGCTCTTTATTCTTGGTTTAAGCAACAAAGACTCAGACACGCGCCCATTTTTGGGGATATTTTGAAAGAGAAAGCTAAATTTTTTTATCTTGATATAACAAAAAAAGATGATTTTCGTGTCAGTGACGACTGGTTTGAAAACTTGAAAAAGCGGCATGGTGTTCGTTTCATTCAGATGAGCGGAGAAAAATTATCTGCCGAGACAGAAGTCGCCAACTTTATTATAAGTTTAAGCACTAAAATTTTAGAACTTGGCCTGACGCCTGAACAGGTTTACAAGGCCGATGAAACCGGCCTAAACTTGCGTCAATTTCCAACAAAAACATTTGTAACAGGGGACGAGAAAAAGGTTTCCGAAAGAAAGCTACAAAAAAAAAAGAATCACTTTGATGGTGTGCTCAAATGGCGCTGAGGGCCATAAGTTAAAACTTTTAGCAGTCGGCAAAAGTAAAAGCCCTCGAGCTTTTAAAAACACGAAAATTGAAAATCTTCCAGTTATTTACATGAATCAGAGCCGAGCATGGGTGACCCAAGAAATCTGCCTTGACTGGTTTAAAAACAACTTTGTAAAAGAGGTAAAACAACATTTGAAGTCTAAGAAACTGTCGTTAAAGGCTTTTTTACTGCTAGACAGTTGAAACAATTCAACATCAAGGATACAATTCTCAACGCAGCTTTTGTATGACAAGTTCAGCCCTCAAATTTAACAAGATCTTAGAAAAATGTTTGGCCAGAGAATCCCCTCCTCCCAAAAAAAAGACGACAGGAATCAACGGGAGACGAAACATATCAAGTCACAATGTTGTGGAGGATACACTGACACTTGGCGATGATATAAATATTCCACAAAAATCATCGGAAGAATTAAGAAGATGGGTCTTAGACGACATCCTGGTCACTGACTTAACGGATGAAGAGAAAGTGCAGGAAGTAACATCTGATACACAAGTAAACATAATCGAGGAGACGAAATATACAGTCACTTGTGATGAAGCTATTTCGGCTGCTAACACTAATACGTTAGTGCAAGGAACGTGCGCTTGACATGAACAATGTGTTGATTTTAAAAGACATTCAAGAAATGGCTATAACTGATTGTATGCGTAAAAAAAAACAGAAGACCATCACAGATTTTTTTAAGTTTTGTTATTTTTTGTACAGTATTAAGAAGATAGTTAGGCTTACGTTGTTTATTTACCTTAATTGTAAAACCGATTCATATTGTGTTATAATTTTAATATTAAATAAATTTCTCTTCTTTTGTAAAAACTAAAGCCTGACTTTATTATTTTGAATCTTTTCTAGTCAAATATTACATAAAAATACATCGTTAACTAGATTTCCAAACTTATACACTGCAAATTCCATTACAGTAAATAGAGCCAACCTTTGATAATTCGACACCCCCACGGTCCCGTAGTGTCGTACCATCGTGAGTAAACTGTATATGTATTTTAATAATACATACTTTATTATTATAAATATATTTAACATAATTCATTAGACATTTATTTATAATTTACTGTATAAAATTAATTATTAATTTGTTAATCAAAAAATAATTACATTAATTGATTTAACCATTACTTTAAAAATAAACAGATGATAAGCTACTTTTTTTTTTATTATTTTGCTTTCAATATTGGGTAGTTTATTATCTTGAAAACACAAAAATAAAAAAAAAAATAGACTAGATTTAAATATTATAATGACTTATCCATTTAATACAAAATTGATGGCTTGACTGGTTTATTTAGACATATAAATACTATAATTAAACACAAATTAAAAAAAAATCAAATGCAAAGTTGTTTTTAACACAAAGTGTTTAAGAAATAGAAATTTAAATAAATAACAAATATTATTAGTTTCAAATTTAAGCAAATATTAAATTTTAGTTAATACTGATTCAATGCTAAACATTAAAAAAAATATTTATAGCCAAAATTTATTTGTCAATAAGATAAAATAAATACATGAATCTTATAAATCACTTAAAATTTAAAATAATTCTGAAAAAAATTATACAGAAAAAACTGAGAGCCAACCCTCTTTATTATTATTAATAATAAATAATTATTACATTCATTCACATTTAAATTATACTTTTAACATGAGATTACACATTAATTTAAAATTTGCTTTTTATATTTTATTTCATATTATTGATTAAAAAAAACTTAATATTAGTAGTTGATTTCATTAATTTAATTTTATAACAACTTTTTGTCATACTTTTGACTTGTTTTTGTAATAAATTAATGATTATTTGTATGTGTATAGAAAAAAAAAATACAATTTAATAATTTACTTATATATGCAAAAAAAAACTAGTTGAAAAACTTTTTTGAAAAAAAAAAAAAACAAACAAACTGTAACAACATTATAAATCAACTAACAAATGGAAACCACATAAATTTATTGTTTGTGTAATACCTAATAAATAATTTACATCAAATATACAACTATACTGCAAATTAATTTTTTTAACAAAAAATACAATGGTTATTACCATACATAGATGACATCTTACACCTAAAAATTACAACAATCGTCTAAGATTATGTTTACTTTTAGATATACTTGAAACAAGGGTTCGACGAATATTTGATGATATGGGTACACTTTTGCATTTATGACCAGAAATATCTGAATATTCACACATACAACTTGTACAAAAAGTGAAACCACAATGCAGTCCATGACATTGTGCTTTAGTTGATTGAGATGGTGCCCATGATGATGGCTTTCTGCATAATGGACATTGTATCAAACGTTGATTAAATTTTAATTTTCTAGCTTCCTAAAATATTGACAAAAATAATTAGTACAATACATAATTAGGGAATTGATCAAAAGGTGTAATACAAATTGAGTTACTGAGAGTTAACTAACTTTTTGAAAGACATGCCACCTAAATTTACTAGGACTAACTGGTGGACTTTTAAGTATTAAGTCTCTTTTGACAGGAGAACACATAACATTTCCAATGTTAACTAAATGGCCTTTTCTATAAGAGATTGCCCGATTATGACCTTCATTTTCTCTGTTTTCTTTCGATAATTTAAAGTATAAATTTTTCTTTTTTTGAGCAGAAGGTGAATATTTAATGGCATTATTCCAAATTTTAGAAACCATAGATATTGATATAATATCAACATCTGATAAATATGAGCATATTTTTTCAATAACTGGTAAAAAATGATGACGTTCTCCTAAAAAATACATAATATCAATTTTATCTCGACCCTCTAAGGGTACTCTATTATAATTTGTATAGCTTGATGAACAAGAACTTTTTTTTATCAAAACATTTTCATCATTTTTACAACAGTTATTTAACCGAAAACGCATTCTTAAATCTGAAGAATATTTGAATTTTTTAGAAGGTGAATTTTCTGTATAAGTTAATACTGATGAAGAAGAACATTTTTTTGACTTGAATGTTTTAATGACAACTTTAGATTTTTTTTCAATAGTTTTTTGAGGTAAAGTAGGTGTATTTGAAGACAACTGTAGAAGGGAAGAATCAAGTGATGTGTGATCAAATACAATGGAGGCTTCAGATATATGACTAAGATTAGATGAAGCATTAGTTAAAGTTGAACATGGTGTATTATATCCACTATCATTAAAATTTTTATAAGGAGTTGATGTGAATAATAATGATTTACATTTTTCATAACAAGGTGATTCTTTTACATCATCCATGGCTAATTATTTTCTGAAACAAAACGTTTTGGTAAAATACTTGTAATAACCATTTAAACAAATTTTAATAAATAATAAAGTTTGATGAAATTTTAGAGCAGAACAAATGAGTAATTGTTTCCAATATTTTTAAGATTATAAGTCATATAGGTTCCAAAGAAATATAAAAACCAACTTAATATTATTTGGAAATACGCTATAAGTTTGCAATATATATAAAAATTATAGTATTTAATTTATGCTTTTTTAAAATTTACTTGATTAATTAACATACTTTAAAAATAGTTTATTTTCAAAATTTGACCAATTAACTTTAAACTACATTTAAATTTTACTAATTCCAAATATTAGATAAAACTTTAACTATTTTTCTCACTTTAGGAGTTTAACTTTACTTGTAATTTAGTACTATATTTGTTTATATATAAAATATATAGCTAATTATTGGAAGCTAAATAAAAAAATATATATATTTTTAAAGGCGAGTGTATTAAAATTGGATACACCAGCCATTATAAATATCATTACTGGAATGTGGACAAGGCTGAAAAAGAGCTTACATTTTAAAAGCGATTATCATACTTTGAGTATTCTGTGTATTAACTAGTTTATGCATGTTTTCTAATGATAAAAATGACACCTATAACTATGTAATAGCGAATTATGTCATATCTATAAAACTGAATGCATAATACTAAGAAATAATGTTTATCAATAACAGAAAATTATGAACTTTGTTTTACCCGTATGTTATATTTGTAGTTAGTTTTAATTTTAGTTATTAAAAGGGTGGATATAGTCACTACTTATTTACTCAAACCATTGCACACCTAATACCATAATTTATAATAAAAATTAGTTTTTGTAATGTTTGATTAAAAGTGTAATGAATTTAGTACACTATGGAGTTTTGCTGTTTTATTAATTAGTTCAATTCATAATTAGCTATAGTTTACCTTCTTAGGAAAGTATCTATAACATTCATTATAATAAATTTTAGTTATTAATATATCTTATTGTGAGTACTCTAGAGAATAGATTTTGAGTTATTGAAGACAAAATTTGTATTTGACATCAATGTATTTACACTTGATTTAAACAAAATAAATAACATATAACTACAAGTTAATAAAATATTTAGAATTTTTTTTACAGATAGTGAATTAAGGATATTAAGTAACACCTAGGATTTTATATTCATAAAATTCTGATTTTCATAAATAATTTTAAATTAACTATTTTTTTCAGAGTCATCCTTAATTTTTTTTCTTAAAACAGAACACTCAATGCTCTATTATAATATAGTCCTGTAAGTCCATTAACTAATAGTTAAAAATGAATTATAATTTTGATTATTATATTTTTATTATATTATATTTTATTATATTCATATCTAGTAAAAAAAAAATATCTAAAAAAAAACTTAGAAGAATTTTTTTTACCATTTAAATTTTAACAAAATTTAAAATAAAAAATATTTATCAAACTGAATAATTGGTTTTTCCAACTCTCAAGTATCCTCATCTAGATTCACCACTGAGTTATAGAATGGGAGACGTATTTAACTTTAGTTACTTGGATTTTTCATCGACTATAATAACATTTTTGTGTTGAAATTGGAGCTACAATTACAATGTTACAATATATAATGATAAAAATATATAATGACAAAATAAATGAATGTGATAAACTTGTATCAAATGCAATTGCTAATAAATAGCTATTTGTGTCAAAACTGGTACCATTATCCAAATAAACATGTAAAGAATTAATTTTAAGAGTAAATATTTTATCATGATAGAGTAAAATTTTACTTTTTATTTAATATGTTATGCTTATTGGCATTACTATATTAAGAATATTTTTTAATTAAAGTAATAATTTGAAAAATTTAATAGAATTATATTATCATTTAGCATTAATACTTTTAATAAACTTATTTTAATTAAAGTTCAGTTCATTATAAATGTTTAGTATTTATTTTATAAATTCTAATTAGATAATTAGATGACATTAATAATAATACTTAAAAGTTTATCATTTTAATTAAAAGTAAAATTTATAATATAACCTTTGAAATTACTAATATTTTGTAACTAAACATATTCACAATCAAGTCACCAAAATATAGTTTATTTTTTTAAGTTTATAGAAAATATTTTTAAAATAAGTACTTAAAAATGGGTATCTATAAATTAAATTTGAACCTTTTATATAATTCACAATTATATAATATCACAATTCTAACTGTCCTATTTCTTTTTATATTGAGCTTAATAGTAAGTTACTTATTATTATTAGTAATTTCTTTATTACTTAAGATAAGTAAAAATAACCTATTAGCGGAGGAGACATTTTATGTCATATTACGATTATATGATAGAAAAGTTTATTTTAGGTCATTTCAAGTATAAAGTTTAAAATTCACCTTTGACATAAACTAGTGAATATCGCCTAAATTTAAAGTTGAAAAGGAAAAGCTTCAGTTCAATAAATAAATGATAATATCAAGTGTTTAATTTTAATGTCCTTATGAGAGAAGCAGTTACAATTAATAACATAAATTAGAATAATTACCTGTGGACTTAACGATATATTAGTATTGAAAAAGTGATAAATATTTAAACGTTAATAACCCGAAAATATTAACTAAAGGAAATCCATCGAACTTCCTTAAAATGGTACATTTATGGTAACAAATTGTACAATGCAAAACACAGGGCTGTAACGCAGCCTTGCACGCGCTCTTAGCTAACGTATTAGAAGGCAGTTAAATGACTGCCTATCAACTATCAGTGGTTATTAGTGGCAGTAAAATTTATTATTGTTGTTGAAGTGAAAACCAGCGCTGCCAATATTTGAATGTTTTAAATGTAATCATATATACCATATTTTTTAATTAATCAAGTAATGACTTTTTATTTACAATTTACTATTGAAAATAAAAAAAAAACCTAAAGAATTTAATAAATTGGGAATGCATACCTGTTAGTTTAATTAAATATTTCATACATTTTAAATCATGAATTATTATGCATGTTTTGCATTGTTTCTAGTAATATTCCAATCAATTAATATATTATATTCGCTAAAATGGTTATTATTAGAAAATTAAATGAAAATAACGAAGTTTTTAAGGCTAGTTTAAAATTAGTTTTAAATAATTAATATGAACTGAAAATCAGCTTTTATAATTTTATACATTTTTAGCCCATAATGAAAATTCCAATGAATTAAAAAAGTAAAATAAATACTTAAACACATTATTTGACACATAATAATTATTTTTGCAACTTTAATATAATATTCAAAATAATGAAAACATAGACTTATAGGAATTTCCTGAAGATTGATCAAGAATTCAGATCAAATATAAAAAAATAATGCAATTAAGTTACGTTTATAAGTCTTGGTTTATTTTTCGTTATATTATAACCTAGTATCGTTTAAATAATAAATAAAATAATTTTAGACAAAAATAGCTATGGAGATAATACTTTTCAAAACTTCATAATTAAAAGACTCTCAGAGTAAACTTGATGATCATATTAATAGTTATTTTAGCTTCGATGCTAAGTTGAGAATTAATTTTACTATGATGTGTTTTTTTTATTGTGTCTGTTACCATTTTTCTTAGCTCTCATCGAACCGATTTCTTTCAATTATACGTCAAAAGATCATAAATCGTATCTAGTCGAAAACATTACCCTCAGAAATAGAAAAAATTTCCCTCGTAAATGAGGGAAATCTCAAAAATAAAATACAAATTTCAAAATCGCTAATTTTTGACATTTTTTCAATTCTTTTTACTTAAAATTTTGCCATAATTTTTTGAAAAATGTATGGATTAATACAATGTTTTTTTATAGATACATGGGGTATCTATATACCTAATATATATATATTTATATATTTTTTTGTAAATCTGACTGGGAGGGATTCAAAATGAGACAACTTTTTGACAAAAAATTAACTTTTTTAACTTAAATTAAGGCTTATGTAATAAACTTTATTACAGAATAAAAAAATTTTGAACTTTATGTTGTCTTTTTTTGTGTTAAAATTCTGGATTTTATAATTTTAACCTTATATTTCTCTAATTTCTTGAAAAATCAATACGATTTTTTTATGAGAAATAATATTTATGTTCTTCTAAATAAATAAGATAGGTCTTAAAACAGGGACATCAAGTTATAAGCTATATATATTTAAAATAATACATTTTGCGTTATATTTCATATAAGGCGTAGTAAAATGAAATGAGGTATTTTTTGCAAAAATATTGTTATTAATAGTTTTTTAAAAAAATTGTGTCAGGATTTAAAGTTATACTTGAGAAAGCTGAATTACGATTTTCTAAAGCGCCATTTAATGCGATATTTTTAAAATAAAAAAAAGATATGTTTAACACAAGATTTGATATAAAAATTTCATAAATTACTAGTCGGATTATTAGCAGTAGCGTAATTTAGATTTTGTCCATGGAAGAGGCATATACATAAGAATATTATTCACTACCCCTCCATAATTTAACTTCACCGTGTAAATATTTTTGATTCAGGAGGTAAGAGTGTCATTAATAGACAATCAAATCTCTCGTTTGTTTTTAGAACAAAAAACGTTTAACCTCGCTTTTAGTTCTACACCAATATGGAGATTAACATAAACATTATTAAACAAAACTTACTTTGTATCATGTTATGAAATGTACATTAAATTATGTATGTTTGTGCGTACCGACTCTTCCCACTCACCACGGAGGGCAATGCGTTTCGACCGCCATGGCCGGTCCGTTGTTCGTCCTCGTTGTCAGTAGTATCGCGACTACCAAACGGTATTGATGCGTTTGTTGATGTTGTCCGTTTACGTTCATTTGTGCCGTCTTACAATCGCCACTTGTTGAAAAAATCGAGAAAGCCGTTGCTTCTCATTTTTTTTACATTAACATGATGTGCGATCAATTCGAATAATATAAATTAACAAATAAAATTGTTTAAGTTTGTTTTTAAATTTTTTTTTTGGTATTTTTGTTTTTGTGAACACCAACATGCCATTGTTCGGCAAAAAAGACGTGAAGAAGAAGAAAGATTCTGAAAAAACGCAATCAATTGATGACAAATATGAAGTCAAAGATTTATTGGGAACGTAAGTTGCACTATTTAATATTAGCTAAGAAGTTTTGGTTAAGCATTTTTTGATGTCTTGCCATGTAAATAAAATAACCGCCAGAATGGTTCATCTTCACCGTTGACATAGTAAGCTGTCCGGTTAACGGTTAATTTTTTTGACGAAATGTAAGGCAATAATACTTAGGATAGCTAACTATTTAATAAATGATAAAATAATGATAATAACTGTGAAAGCTTGTTGCCTATACATTTGAGAACACAATACTGAGATTATACAATCTAATTCTAAGAAGTTACAGTGTATTGTTGATCCAAATGAACAGCGTATAACTAGATTTTTGTTTTCTTAGAATTTTGTTTCAAGTTGGTATGTACAATGAAATGAAAAATTCTCAAAATATGAATATGTATTTAATGAAAAAATACTGTGGTATGCTATATATTACACTAACAAATAGCCATGGTTAAACTGATTGGATTATAATAAGTTTACTATTAAACAAAAAATAGAAAAATATATGATATAAAACTACTATTATATTTGTTCAAATAAGATAGCTTGTAACGAGTAAGATGTAATCGTTAGCGTTTTTGGTAATATTTAAAGGTTATTTAACAGTGCTGCACAATTTATGTCGGGTTTTAATTTAGTTATGAATCCAATTCAAAAACAACTGTAATTGTTGATAAAACATTCATTATGCGATTGTTTACTAATTGACCATTTCATTAGTTTTTATCACAATCTTAAATTTATTATATATTAATAACTTTTTATAAGTATTTTTTATACTTTTTGTGTAATAATTAATTTGTATATTACAGCTCAAATATAGAATTTAGGACAAGTCTAGGCTTGTCCTTCGGAGAACGGAGGAGACGAAGAAAATTATCGTCTAAACATGAAATATATATAAGTCATAGAATATTATAGATTTTATTTTAAATAACATTAGAAGTATTTAGATCGATAATTTTTGGTAAAACTATCCTTTTAGTTTTTTATTAGTTCATTATTAAAAACCAAAGATAAATTTGTAATTATCTTTATATTTAATTCTATTACATAAAAATAAATCTAGAAACGTTCCTAATTCAATTTTAGACCATAATTTTTGGATTAAATTTTCATGTGTAGAATATTAATACAAACTTATGGTTGCTCTATAGTGAACAATTTTCTTATATTGAATAAACACATAAGTAATAAAACTTCAATTTAATGGGGTCATTTGAACTTAAAGTTTTCCAATTGGTAAAAAAAATAAGTAGTATTTCAGATTTTCTATATATGTATAAGAAGAAAATTTTGTGTCTATAAATAAAAAATTATCTTATGTTTTACAAAACAATATGAAATAAATAATGTGTCACTGCAATATATATAAAGTAATAATTTATTTAAAACAGATCGAATAATTCACCACGCACGTCGTTAGTTACTTAGGTTTTATGTGTATTTAAACATTAAGCGGTCAATTATATTATTGAAAAAGGAAGGCGCAAAAACCACTTTACGACTACAGTTGTAGGTCGCTCCATTATCACAGTAAACCGGACAAGGCCATTCGTTTATGCACATTATTATAAAATTTTAATTGAATTAATTGTAATACTAAAATTATGGAGCAAAATATTTTTTTAAGAAAAATAATGTATATGTATAAATATTAACACGACCCCCAGGGATTGACGGCCGATTATAGAAAGTGTACCAGAAATCGTGTGAAAAAAGAGACTCGGTACGGGATTAGAACCCACTACCCAAGGCGTCGTTGAGACAAACCTTACCACTATAACCTTGTACTTATAATTCAGACCCGATACACTTTCATTTAGGTTGATAACGTGATGTGCGACTGAGAGAAACAGTACCGTGTTAATATATATATATATATATCATGTATATTTTATTAGGTATTGGGATCATTCAGTCGATACCTTAGCACTGATGTTCAGCTGCGCTGTTAGCTGTTGGTTCCCGGATAGGTGACTATATATATATATATATATATACAGCGACACACACCTCGCTCCATCACTGGTTCCCTTAAACATAATAAAGTTGCGTCAGATAGACAGTCAGTAAAAAAATCCTGTCAAATCAAGGTAGAACCTTAAATAGTTGAAATAGTCTAAGATGATGATGTATATATTTGGTATTAAGTGTTCTTTGATAAATTTTATCGCAAATTATGATTTTTTTAATATCAAATGATGCGTCGTATTCAAAATTAATTTTTCGTTGAAATAATAGTGAATACATATCTTGATAATCTGATGAAAAAAAAATAAATCAAATTTATATAGAGAATAAGGATTATCTTAAATGAAAAATAACTCTTATCACATGTCCATATGGTTTAGAGAAACTGTTTTTGGTTTCTATAAATTTTAGTTTCTGTAACTTTCCTAAAATTACCTTTCCTATGTCAACAACTCAGTAGTAAAATATTAGCTATCATGATTTTTTTGTGAATTTTCATGTAATATTTTAATTTGAATAAATGTATATTTTTGGAATCACTCCTTTTATGAAATGCCATACTTACATATAAATTACATACAAAACGAAGGTAAATGATTGTCACTGTTATTCGAATAATCAGCATGTTATAATAGTAATTTCCCGTATTTTTCAATTAATATTATAGCGGGTGAATTTGCATATGTATAATTTCGTTTATATTTTTCGAAATTATATGGTTAGACTATTCGTCTGTTGTGCGCATTTCTACAAACATTGACGTCTTTGTGCATATCGTATTTACAGAATCCTCAAACACATTAAATCCCCACTACTATTGTATTTATCTTTCCTACCTACAATCATTTTAAAAAGGTTGCAAAAAATAATACATAAATTAAATGTGTGTATGCAAAGTTGTCGGTTGGTCACTTTTATGTCGACTGATCTATTGTGTTTTTGTATTTTGTTGATTTATCTACAATATTTTGAGTGCCACTGTTCGGTCAACATATCTAATCTGCTTCGAAAAAACATTCGAAGCAATATTGCACATGGCGTACAATAGCTGCTTATCTACGATTTCCACCGCAGTTATCGTTTAACTACAAAATAAGCAATGTTAAGTAGTAGTATTTAAAATTGTGATTGTCCTTGCTGAATTAAGTAATTATTTACCAAATGATCCCTAAATAATAGCCGTGCTAATTTTGTACGACCAACAAATCAAAAATTAGGTTAAATGCAAAAGGTATCTAAAATATAAGCATAATTAGTTGATTGAATTGAAAATTATAATAAGTTTAATTATATTTTAAATTATTCTTATTATCATATTAGTATCTAAGCAAGTAATGCATCTTATTTTTTATATATATTATGTATAAAATAAAATAAAAATCAACCAAAAAATAATATTAATTTAAGAAATTTTCTTGGTCCATTTTTTTAATTATCTTGATAACAATTTACTATCGTTTGGAACTACTTAAAATAAAATTGGTGTAAACACATAATATGTATTATTTTTACATATTGTTATTTTTTTCCTATTAGTATTGATCAATTAAAAATTAATGCTGTGTGTTATTAAAATATCAGAAAACTGGTAAAACTGGTTGTTATGTATGTGCATTGAGTTCACTGTTTATTATCCTTTCTTCAAATTTTGTTTGTTATTTGTAAATATTATCAACATTTTTAAATGAAATATTTTCGATGCACTTTAATAAATAAATTAAATATTTAAATTATTATAAACATTTTTTTAATTGTTATAATTATGATTATGGCGAATAATTTTTCATTGATTATATGTAAACGTTTGAACGATATAAAAATATGTGTTGATATAATTTTACATCATTAAATAGAAATTCATGTGTTCTAATGCCTAATGTTAGTTAATAATATGAATATCTTACTGTAAGCTTACTTTTTAATTTGTTATGCCTCTATGTATGAATGTGGAGTTTCTTTATTAAATACTTGTACTATATTCAATATAAATATTAATTTGTATGTGAATGTCATTTGCAACAATTGCGTACTGTGTGCTTGTGTGTGTTACAAAGTTCATAAAACAGCAATGTTTTTATAAAGATTTTACGTCAGTATTAATAATTACTATTTCATCTTGGTACAGACAGAAAATCTAATCAAAAAATGCTGTTTTGTTCATATTCTATTACACTATACTAAATGTATCAATTTAAAATATTAATATTCTAAGTTATTATTTTTAACTATTTATAGATTATAAATAATAGTGTAAATTATTTAAATAATTTAATAAAATATAAGTAATTTATATAAACTATGTTAAATATGTATGGATTAAAAAGAAGTATTATAATACTTATTAATTATAAAAATATTTATGTAAAACTTCATAATTTTTTATTTTTTAAAAATTTTTCTTATATAAAAGTCTTTGTTTAAGTTTAAAACTAAGATTTCGATATAATTCCAAATTTTACTGCATCTCTTAGAATTGAGCTGTGGTGGGATTTATTCGCATGAGAGCACAAATGTTATGTGAGGGTTCCTGCACCGGTTACTTCTGCTCATTTCACAGTTAAATCTCTAGTTAGGCCTGAACGACGGTTTTTGAATAACCCCCACAGTATTGGGGGTTATTCAAATAAAAAGAAAATGATAAGACTGCGGCATTATTACGGGATTGTGAGATAAAAGGAAATATTATTTGCTTCTTGATTTTAACTGAAATAAATATGGACGAAATAATGAAAATAATAATATTATTTTTTTAAATTAAATAATGCTTTATTTCGAAAAGTAACTTTACAATATTTTTGTTGTATCCCGATAAGTTTTTTTGTTGGTCATAAGTCTATATTTTTTTTATAAATTGAAATATTCGTTTTAATTTTTTGATTTTAAGTTTTAGTTAAACAATTAATTTGGTATAATATATGATGCTGTAATCCTCACTAGTCTTTTAATTAAATAACACTTAATAAAATACCAACACTGTACGATTGCTTCAGGATAAAAAAAGATCTTGGGTACTGTTTAATATAATTAAA